AATTAGATGCATTATCTGTAATAGTATGGGTAATTTTTTCAACATTTAAATTGTTTTCAGTATGAATTTCATATATTAATTTTCCTATATTTTCAAAATTGTGAGTATATTTAATTCGTTTACATGCTAGCATAAAACTACATCTTTCTATTTTAATTCCATCAATGAAATGACAGTCATTCCCATGTAACTTTTATTGTTGGATGACCAAATGCCTGCAGTAGTGCATACATATTTTTGATTATTTAAAGTTTTCATTAAATTACATTTTACAGTATTATATTCATTAATTAATAGTTGCATTAAAGATTTTCTACAAAAAATAGTGTATGGATTATTTCTTACTGATAAAAAACGCTCTATCATGGTCCTAAACGATTCTTTATCGATAGTAGATACTGGGAGCATTTCTTCAACAATATAATTTAATATTAAATAGTTCACCTCTTTTTGGCTTAACTTTTCATTAGTTTTGGTTCCTTGTCTGTTGAAACTATCAATTAATGACAATTGCTTCGTTGAGTTTAATTCTGACTGATTATCTACTTTTGAGTTTTGAAATTTCAATTTTTCTTCATTCCATACTTTCCTTTTAGCTGGATGAACTTTCTATAACAAATTAACAACATTATTATGAATGCTAGTTTTTATAAATGAAATTATTAAATAAAATACGAGTGCTTACTTTAATATGAGAAATAAAATTGCCAGTTGAATGACTATTCCCTTTGATGCATTTAAAACATGTTGTGCATTTCATGACCAAACTATTAGTTTGTTTGTCTAATTTTAATACCGAGTACAAAGATGAATTAAATAGATACGACGATGTTTCTTTTTCATTAAATACGGGTTGTTGTATTTCCATGGAATCTGGATCGTCCATAGCTGTGTCTTCGTTAGTTGAACGAACATGACGAATATACTGATCCATATCTAATTTTATTTGAGGCGTCAGAAATGTGCCTCAAGCCCTCATCTGTAAACTATTTAGTGTATCCGCCATCCGGTATATAGTATATACTATATTTATATTTTAAGGTGTAGGACAAGTTGTACTAGACGACAATTTATCTAATGTTTGAGGTTAGGAAAGATTGTCGTAAAGAACTATTTTACTTTATATTATATAATTTATAAGAGATTATAGCACTTATAGAGAGTAGGGAGCACGGTTTAAGATAAAAATTTTAATTTTAATTTTATCTTAAACCGTGGTAGGGAGTAGGGACTGGTAAGTGTTCAGTTAATAAATATTTTCAAATACGCCAATGTCTAATTGTTACGCGTATACTATTCCCTCGAAATAACAATAATAAATAATAATGAACATACTGCATAATCAGCTGATCAACTGTGGCTTCTATATAGTTCTATGTTTACACTACTTGCCAGATGGTAATAATAACATTCGTATTTACAAATATCCGTCTGGTTCAACGAATTTAATATTCTGGCTGTACTAGTGGTTTTTCCAATGATCGATTGAAGACATACATCGTTATCGAATTCGTTTATAATATTAAGCAATATTCAATTATTGCTATTATTAGTAGGTACCCCATCACAGTTCACATATTTCAATTATTATTCTATTATTAAGATGATTATGATAAATGGCTAAATAAAATAATGAAATCTTATTATTCTCATTTAAACGAAAAAATAAATTAAAATTAAAAAATAAATCACCAATTTGCTTGATTTAATATCTGTTATCTATCGACAGAAATAATTCAAAAAGATAAGTATAAGATAAAGATACTTTGGATTTATCTAGATAAAAGATTAAAGATAATTTTGACGTTATCTAGATTATCTTTTAGATAATTTTATCTAGATAGTCCCAACACTGGCCATGACCGAATGATAATACATGGGTAGTGCGACGTACGGCGGGGGCATCAAGTCTGAAGCGTTATAGGGTTTTCCCCGAAAATTGGCTGATCAACAACAACAGATTTCTATATTTATAACATAAATCATAATTTTATACTAAACACTAAACAGTATAATATATTATTGAATATTAAAATTAAACCGTCATCTCCAAGAAACTGAATTTTGAATAATTGTATTGTAATTTGTAGTATACTAATATTATAATTTGTACAACTTAATACAAAAATAATACGTAATAATATTTAATATTGATTGGATTTGATACATTTAAATTAAACAAATGTAGTACAAACCACTTTTAACTTAATTTATTATAAATCATTATCTATCAGTCTAATACAACCACTGAAAAAAGTCTTTTTCCGTGTGATGATGATGCATTTGAAGAAAACCTATCAGACAGTTTCAGTTTCGATGAAGAACAAGATTCAGGTTCTGAATATATTCCATATGATGAAAATACATCAGATAAATCAGATATGTCACAGCTGATTCCAAGTACATCTAATGTCATGGACTTATCATTCACCACATCAATTTTAGAGGAAATGAATAGTTCTACATCAGAAAAATCGGTAGATATAGAGCTTATACCAAGTACATAGCATATTATGGCCCCATCATTCACCATCACAGTATTAAATGAAGTTGATAGTTCCACATCGAACAAACCAGTTGCTCCAAAGCCTATTCCAAGTTCATCTAAAATAAACGTGTCAATGAATACTGTGTCAAGAAATTTTAATTTAGTTGCTGAAGTGGAAAAAAGTAAAAAATCAAATATAACAAACAAGCGCATTTGGGATAAATTAGACCATTGCATTTTTTGTGAAAAGGACATTACAAACTTTACAAGACATATACTTAGAAAACACAAGGACGAAATTGAAGTTTCAAAGTATGAATCATTACCAAAAGGTTCGAAACAAAGGTTAGCTTTGGCTGATTCTTTAAGAAAACGCGGAAATTTTTTAAATAATGTTGCAGGAAATTAAATTAAGCCAGTCCGTAGTTCATACGAGTTTAATACTGCCCCAGTAATAGCCTGTGACTATTTACCTTGCAGATATTGCTATGGTATGTTCAAAAAAAAATATTTGTCACGCCACATAAAGGTATGTACTAAATATGTGAAAAATGATAACGAAAAAAATTGTAGAGCTATGTCAAGTGGACAAAATATATTGGTGGCATTTACCGGAAACAACAAACAACTCGAAGATACAGTTTTTCCAAGAATGGCTAGCGATGAAATCTCTTTTGTGGCAAAATCTAACCAACTAATAACATCATTTGGAACTCGGTACCTTAAATGTCACAAAGAAAAACATTTAATTGCAGTAGTATCACAAAAAATGAGAATGTTAGCCAGACTTTTAATAGCCATGAGAGGTGAAAACAGTTCAATTTTTACTCTAAAAGATTGTATTTTTCCTCAACATTTTGATCTTGTGATAAAATGCTCAAAAAAAGTTGCAAGATATGACGAAAAAATCGATAGTTTTGGTTCACCGTCCGTCATTTTGAAATTAGGTCAAATGCTTAAACAGTGCTGCGANATTTGCTAAATATTGACGTTGGTTTGGAATGGATCGGACAAAGTGGGGGGGCTGAATGAAGTTAGCCCCCCCCAAACGCATTTATTGATTTGTGACTTTGCACTTGATTTGCAAATTTCAAAACGCAATTTGCAATTATTTGCAATTAATTTGCTAAATATTGGCGCCGGTTTGAAGTGAATCGGCCAAAGTGGGGGGGCTAACTTCATGACCATAAAAAATCATCTGCATTTAGTGGCTTAGAATTACCACTGGACACAGCTACTATAAAGGGTTGAGATTCATATTTACTGTGTAGAATAAGCCCCAAGTTCGCCCAAAACTGTTGGCTTGAACTATTGTACAGTGGTAAACCATCAATGTTAAATAATAATCTTATAGTGTTCTCAGTAAACTCATTTGTAATTATTCTTTTCAACCCAGATTCTAAACCAAAATATACGTATGACCCATTGGTGTTCTTTGAGCTCATCATTAATTTGATATTTTTATCGGTTTTAGTTTGTAATAAAGTAACTGCTGATTTTGGTAAACCATCAATATYTTCTGAATGTAAAATATCTAAGAGGCTATCGATTGTTTCAATTGTAAGATTAGATCTAAATTTTACTRCCCAACTTTGTAATTTTTCACGAATAGTAGGCACTTCTTCGTTATTCTCTTCATCAGAGTTCGATGATGACAAAAAAGACGGAGGTGAATCATTATCTGTTGAACTTAAATCAGGAGATCTGTTTTATAAATTGATGAATCTGTGAGGTAGCTGTTTTCAATATTCTCAGCATTATATAAATGGTCACTACAATAATGTTCAATATCATCAACCTCTAATTCCAAATTTACAGATGAGTAAAAATTGTCAAGTTCAACATCTGTTGAATCATTAGATGATACYGCATTTTCAGTTAACTGTCTCAGTTGACGATGTTTTTTCAACCGTTCATATGGAGTAGTCATATTGCAACTAAATTAAATAATGTAAGGTATAGAATAAAATGTTCAAGTACAACTAGGATTAGACAGGATGATACATATTAAATAATTAATAAGTCAATATATATTATATATTTATAACTAATTAATACCTTCAATATATATAAATTAAACCATTCGAATCATAAACACATAACTCACAACTCTTCATATCATAAATAATAMAATATGTTATACATATTCATTAATAGGTATACATAATAACTAATACTTACACCAAAGTTAATAAATTACATACAAATTACACCTTAAAGTCATATAGATAATGAGAGAATTGATGATTTATCTATTTGATTTTCACGTTGGTAAAAGTACTATTGCGGAAATTGTTAGAGAGACCTGTGCTATTATTTGGAAAATTTTACAGCCTACAGAGATGCCAAAACCTACAACTGAACAATGGCTTGGAATATCTGATAGATTTTATCAAAGCACAAATTTCCAAATTGCTTGGGTGCCATAGATGGTAAACACATACGATGTAGGAATCCCATAAACTTCGGTTCATATTATTTTAACTACAAAAAATTTTTTTCTATTATATTGATGGCTGTAGTTGATGCTAATCTTAGTTTTATTTGTATTGATGTTGGAGCTTACGGTAGGGAATCAGATTCTACTGTATTTAAACAATGCACATTTGGTAAAAAATTGTTTGCTCAACAACTAAATTTACCAAAACCGACATACTTGCCTAATTCAGAAAGTTCTCCGTTGCCATATGTGTTTTTGGCTGATGAGGCTTTTAGTTTACATACAAATTTGTTGAGACCATATCCTGGACGAGGTTTAAATGATAAGCGGCGCGTATTTAACTACAGGCTCTCAAGAGCACGAAGAACAGTCGAGTGTGCATTTGGGGTATTATCCAACAAATGGAGAGTATTACACACTCCTTTATTAGTGGAACCAGATTTTGCCGATGAAATAATAAAAGCTTGTTGCATTTTACATAATTATGTTCGCCAAAGGGACGGAGCTAGTTACGATGATATGGAGTCAAATTTGTTGGTTGATGACTTAGAAATTCGAGGAGCTCCAGCAAGAGCACAAGGAATAGAGATTAGAGATGCATAATATGCTGATTATTTTATGGGCCCAGGTTCAATACCATTCCAATATAAATATATTTAAAAATTGCAAATTAAATAATAATATTTGGGATCAAAATATTTTTTTTTATAATATGTAAACTATAGATTTACTTACAATATAAAATTGAAATACGAAGTGTATAAAACAAAGTAGGTTTAATAATAATTAGTTATTATTATTATTATTTTTTTTTTTTTTTTATACTTACCTATATTATTATTTTTTTTTATAATTTTAATATTTACGATTTTCATTGTTTTTCCTAAATCATTTGTAATCGACTTTTATATAATGTGTAATATTTTACCTAGACTTATGAAGTACATAATGGTTAAAAAAGGTTTATTAGGTCAAAAAAAGTTGCAAGATATGACGAAAAAATCGATAGTTTTGGTTCACCGTCCGTCATTTTGAAATTAGGTCAAATGCTTAAACAGTGCTGCGATTTGGCTGAATTTCTGTTTTTAAAATAAAGCGAAAATTTAAATTCTAACACATCTCAAAAAGAAAGAGAATCCATTAACAATTTTAAGTATATGATAGAAAAACAGTGGTCTTTCGAGCTTTCGAGTAACGCATGCAAAGAAATATATCAAAACAAATGGAACAAGCCAGCTATTTTACCCTTGACTTCTGACATCAAAGTATTTAGGGACTACATTATTAGTGTAGAAAAAGAGGCTTCTCACTATCTGAAATTAAACCCAGAAAATATGTCAGCGTTTAAAGAGCTTCAAGAAAGTACAATGGTACAAATTGTATTGCTTAATCGTCGTAGGGCTGGAGAAGTGCAGCGTATCCTGTTAGATACTTACATTAATGCACCATCAGAAGTTTCCCAGGAAGAAATTAGTCATGCATTATCCCCTGTCGAACTAGAGCTTACTAAAAGTTTTAAAAGAATAGTAATCCGCGGAAAGCGAGGACGAGGCGTTCCAATTTTGTTTACGATGCATCTTCAAAAATAGTTGAATTTTTTATTGAAATTAAGAGAGTCTGCCAGTTTTATAAACAAAGAAAACCCATTCTTATTTCCTTTAACACAATGCTCTACCAGCTGTATGAGGGCATCTGATTTCATACGAAAATTTGGTCGCAAATCTGGGGCAGAACATCCGGAAAATATTACTTCTACTCGTCTAAGGAAACACGTTGCCACTGTTTCTCAGTTGCTAAACTTATCTGATGGAGACATAGAACAACTGGCAACATTTATGGGCCATACGAAAGACATCCACAAAAGTTTTTATAGACTGACAGATAATGCTTTTCAGGTAAATATTTTGCAACTATCAATTTTAATATTAATATAACTTTTATATTTATTGAATGAAATAATTTTGTAATTTGTTCAAATTTGATGTCAATTATTGTCTAACCTTCAACAGAAATTAGATTAATAACTTATTTATATTGATTTAAAAAATCTTAATTATCAAATTAAATAAGTTGCCAAATACAATTTTACTAAAATCAAGTTTAATTTTGCACAGATTATATCAGAACTAAATATAATAAATAAAACCTGTCCAAGTTAAAATAAATATTTTATAAGAATTTGACATTTTCTTTTAATCAGATTTTAAATTATAATATATTTTCATATTTATTAAATAAGCAGCAACTTAAATTATTATTATTATTATTATATATTATTAATAAATAATTATAAATGCTTAAGTTCAAATAGTTATCATGCTTTCAATATTATTATGCAATGATGGTCAGCTGCATGTTGTTTTAATTATTAAAATATCTAATGTATTCTGAAGCATAATTGAATATTATRTATTAGTTGATAACTAAAAATATTTCTTTACAATTATTTTACTTAAATCTAACTGATTTACAGGTAGCAAAAGTCAGCAAACTACTGTTGTTAATGGAAAAAGGCGAGGGCCAGAAGTATCGCGGAATGACTTTAGACGAAATCAACATCAGTTCAAATGATTTAGTTTCTGATGAAGGAGAAGATGATGTAGATGATGATTTTCATGAAAAAGACTCCTCCCCAAACTTTGATTTAAGGCAAACAAATGAATCAAATATAGAAGAACAAGAACCATGTGCTACACAACAAAGTCCTATTAAAAAGTTAAAAAAATATATAAAAATTATACCGTGGACAGAAAATGAAAAAAAAATTATTACTCAACATTTTAAAACTTCTATTATTTTAAAYAAAGCTCCCAAAAAACACGAATGTGAAAATTTTGCAAAACAAAATAAAATTAACAAGCCATGGAGAAAAATTAAAGATTTTGTSCACAATGCTGCCAATAGCTATAAAAATAAAATGAAGTAGTAATCATAGAGTAATATTTCTTTATTATTATTAGTTATAATATTATGTTAAAATTCCATTATCATTATTATATCAGTATTACTTTATTGTAATAACAAAATAACATATTATGTCTTGTTGCTTAATTTTATTTTTATCTTATTTTTATTTTCAAATAAAACTTTATGTTCTAATTGAAAAGAAATGTTTATTTTGGTCATATATTTTTATGTTTCAATTTATTATTACCTATATATTTAATTTGTTACAAGTTAAGTCATTTTAATAATAACAACAAACAATTCTATAATTTGTTCATAAATTTAAAATAGGTGTTTTAAATACCAATGTAATAATTAATATGTGTTAAATATKATTCAATTTTTTTAAAAGCTGCTTAATTTTGTAACGAATAAAGATATTATCRTTCCAATTTTGTGTTGTTATTTTAATAAGAGTGAATTTACATAGGTATTATTAAACTTAACATTGATACCGTTATACCTATCTCTTATTGCTAGGTTTTAAGCAAGATACGAGCATTTTTAAATTGTGATATACTCATATACTCTTATATGATATATTGCTTGAAAATAATGATTTTTTTTTACAAATTCAAACACAAAATGATCAACTTGTTAAGATACCTAGGTCTAATTCAGGATCAGGGCAGTAAGTTCAAAAGCCAAAAGTATGTTGTCTAGAGCGAATGACAGGAGCGTAAACATTGTATAAATTATTATGACTAATTTACTTCTTAATTTAAAATTGATTTAATAGCATTGGCATAACTAGGTAAGCAATTTAAAGTGTTTATAAAAATTTCAATGTGCATTAGGTACCATGAATACTAAGTAGGTGGTATTTAATTTGGAGATCTCTCATAGTACTTAAACTACCTTGTGTGTATGACTTTATATTTTTAATATCATATATTTAAACGGATCTCATTACGAATGTCCTAAAATAAAACAATTTATATAATGCGAATCTCACGTGGTACTTAGACTACCTAGTGTGTGTGAGATTAGATTATTAATGTTATATATTTCAACGGATCTCGTAACGAATTTCTGAAAATAAATCAATTTATAAAATATGGATCTCGTATAGTACTTAATCCACCTAGTGTATGTTAATCTTATATATTTAAATGGATCTCATAACGTATGTTCAATATAGGCAATAATAAACCAATTTATATAATGCAGATCTCGCAGTACTTTAGGTAAGTACGTATGTGTGTGAGATTGTTAATATGATAGGTATATTTAAACGGATCTCCTAACGAATCCTGTGTGTGTGATACATTTAAAATGATAATTATAATTAGGTTGAAACAGATCTCGTATAGCGTTCGTATTTAGGAGCGTAAACATTGTATAAATTATTGTGACTAATTTACTTTTAAATTTAAAATTTATTTAATGGCATTGACATAACTAGGTAAGCTATTTAAAGTGTTAATAAAAATTACAATCTTCATTATATGTACCATAAATACTAAATAGGTGGTATTTAACTTTTTATACAGATTTGGGATGATGAAAACGAACACAATATTAATGATGTACCAGTTGCACTAAACACCTAAATAGTTATGTAGGCCCCCCTATCGGTTTGTGTCTGAGGTTTAGTGGAAAAGAAGGTCTTCCTATTTTTTTTATTTATAAATGTTCTCATAACAAAAATCATGGTACACAGGCCATGGACATGATAACATAGACGTGCACAGACATGAATTTGGGGGGGGGGGTTACCTACAATATTTATAGGCCCTCTTAAGAAGACGTGTACGTATTAATCAGTGATATAGAACTACTATTAGTTCTAAGTTTTATATTTCCTTGGATCTAATATATTTCTATGGTCTGTGTCTGAGTAGCGAGTACAGTTCAATGTAGTTCCCATGTTCTATCTTAATGCAGTGGTGTAATTGATTAATTTATGATTGCGATGATTTGGCAACAGCACATGGATCTAATAAGCACTATGCTATAAAATATTGAAACACATGGATMTCGTAAGTTATAGATTTTACTCTTTAGATCTCTCAACGTAATAAAATAACTTTTTCACACTCTGGATCTCGCAATGAAAGATGACAATTAAAATAAACTTAAGTGTTCTTATAATTTTATTTGTGTGTTATAGTCAAAGGATTTTTTAATCATTACTCCTTTGTCGATATGACGTTTTTAAATGATGGATTTTTTAAGGGGAAATCATAGGGGAGATAATGTATTCGAAGGGGAAGGCGTAAAATATATGTCGGTCACGTGTCGGATCGTGTGGCAGTTGTGAAGAGTTTATGTGTGTTGTGGGTTGCCTATATTGAGAAATTTATACTAGTTTTGGAGGAACCTGTACTGGAATTGCCTATACTGAGGATTCCTATGATTTTACATGTAAAATTTAAGGGGGAGGAGATCCAGAAGCCCCTATTTTATACTACTTTCATCGCTCCACTCAAAATCTTAAACAACAATAATATTAAACCAATTTTTAGGTACCTTTTATATTTCATATTTATTCGTTATTACAACATACCTAATTTATTACAAAAAATTATTATTATACATTGCGTATTTTGTAAAGTCTTAACTGCATTTTTATAAATTTTAAGTTGTTTCCAACACATTGACAATTGTTAAAAATCATCCACAAAATCGAATTGTAAGTTCAAAACAGTTGTCTTAAAAGTGTAATGAACACTGCCCCATAGTGTTAGAATACGACGAATATGTGAGTAGCAGTAAGCTTAGCGTACAGCCGAGTTACAAATCACACAAATTTTAATGTATCTCTCACATAACAGAAGTATTCGACTTCACGTGCTTAACCAATTGCCTATATCATACTCCTCTCAATAACGGAGCTTCCGACACACATAGATGTTCATTGTTTCATGTAACCAAACTAAATATAGTTTCTGGTGCTTATATTCTATCTGCTTTACTTATACTTATTTTATTGATTTCAAATAAATTAATACAATTGTGTAAGTAAACAAAATACATGTAAATGCAGTAAATTTATTTGTTAAATATTTATATTGATAATAAGTATGTTTACAATTTTATAAATATCTGGACACATCAAGTAAGTTAATCTTAAATCATCGATAATGATGATTTTAGTAATTAATACTGATATTCGACACCTATAATGTAGTGGCCGTAATTTAGGTTATATATACTGTACATAAAATTCAACGCATGGGACTCTAAAAAAAAAACAAAAAAAATGTGTCCCAAGAATTGAAAATATAAGGGTTGATCATATAAAATCGAATATTATTTAAATATAAAAATAAATTGATTAAATGACGTTTTTGGCAAAATTAATTACAAAAAATGTACTTTGTAATAAAAGAATATTGGAATGATTAACAAACAATAAGTTTCTACTGTGAGCCAGTAGAAATAAATTACTCAATTCATGTAAAAAACATAATTTATCATAAGGACGTTACAAACTCAAGGTTTATAGAATAAACAATACTCGTAGATATAAATACCATAATAATCTTAACACTTTAAATAAATAGCAAAATACAGTGTTTTTTTTTTTTTTGATCGCGTTAGGAAGAATCAACGAAAACATAAAATTAAGTAAATACTTTAAACAGCACACACAAGGCCGTACTTAAATAATCTAAAATAAGTCGATAACACAAACTATTTTTATCATAAATTCTTATATATGCCCAAGTGGCATTGAAATTAAAAATCTGTTTTAAAAAATAACTGGGACGAGAATTCAGACCCTATGATTCATACCTAACAATGGTTTTCAGTATATGCAGGTGCTTAATCATAACATTTATAAGAAAATGAATAAAATAATAACAATTTTAGCCTAAAATTTATGACAAAAATACAAACAATAATAATCAACCACATATAGCATTAAAATCAGACAAATACTTCGGGTTAACTCGTTGAATAGATAAAATATGAGTGATCTGATATTGACAAGTCGTTTCATGCTTGAGATACTTTGTTTCACAATAACGTATAGTTTCCAGCGATATCCCAACTTAGGTTGTATTGAGCTTCAGCGCCATTGTGCTAAACGACCCGCATGTCTTGATCATATTCATAAACAATTAAAATTAATAGGACCAAAAATAGTATTGGTCAATTTAATGATTGTTTTTTTTTTCATCTTAAAGAGCATTTTAATTTAAAGATGTTAATTAATTTTACAGAGTCCGGCAATAGCTGTGGAAATGCCATCGACTTCACGGTCATTAATTTGTCTTCACAAATCTAATGTTGTATGGATCGTCACATAGCTCGGGATACCTTTCAGTATCTCGGATGTACTCTCCGTCAAAACCATTTGCGTAGCCCAACTTTAATATTTCATCGATTTCAGCGACCGACCAGTCTTTGTTCGTAGGTAAGCCTAATCTTAACAGATCCCGTTCCCTGTGCCAAGCCTTTCGCATTACAGACGTCTTGGCATGATGCAGCAATCGCTGTTTTTCGTGTTCCAAAGTTGTGCCATAACGCAAATTTATCACCGTGTCCGCACAATGTATCCGCACGTCTACCATCTGAAAACAAAAACAAAAATTGGCTATTCATACAGTGAGAACAACGAAAATTGTGGAGCACTGGGACTTAATTCGATAACTCTCCAAGTCCTTTTATTACCATATTCAATAATTAAGGGTAATTTTAAATATGTACCTATATATTATATGAGCAAGTTTGTCTTAAAATATCTTATTATTACTACACACAATGTCAAATATCATTGTATTTGGTGACTCAAATAAATGTAGTATATGACGGCCAACTAGATCTAATCGTCGAATTGTTAAAATATTTTGAATGTTACAAATATTATGTAATGATTTAGAACACTTTGGGTTGAGTGATAAGTCTTAACCAGGTGTAATCCTAAAATAATAAAGTAGTATTTCGCCGAACATCGTTGGGTACTAATCTTTTAACATTTAATTTGTTAATAAAATCGATCCAATTAACATAACTATTCATAATTAGGATTCGA